ATTGCATTTCCCTGATGGCTTATGATATTGAGCACTTTTCATATGATTATTGATCATTTATATATATTTTGTGAGAACTGTATATTTGAATCTATTGTCCATTTAAAAATTTATTTATTTTAAGTGTAATGATTGGTTTTTTGTTTTTTTTATATATTTTTTAATTTATTAAATCATAGCTGTGTGCATTAATGCAGTTATAGGGTACAATGTGCTGGGTTTATATACCATTTGAAATATTTTCATCAAACTGGTTAAGATAGCCTTCACTGCATTTTCTTAGTTATTGTGTTAAGGCATTTATATTCTACAGTTAGTAAATTTAACATGTACTCTTGTAAAGTGCACCATAGTTGTGTTACCAATTACCCTCCCTCCATCCATCCTCCCCCCTCCCCTCCCGTCCTTCTTCTCTTTTCCCTTCTTCCTGGGCTACACTTGGGTTATAGCTTTCACATGAAAGCCATAAATTGGTTTTATAGTAAGGTTGAGTACATTGGATACTTTTTCTTCCATTCTTGAGATACTTTGCTAAGAAGAATATGTTCCAGCTCTGTCCATGTAAACATGTAAGAGGTAAAGTCTCCATCTTTTTTTTTTTTTTTTTTTTGAGACAGGAGCCTCAAGCTGTCCCCGTGGGTAGAGTGCCGTGGCATCTCAGCTCACAGCAACCTCCAACTCCTGGGCTCAAGTGAGTCTTCTGCCTCTGCCTCCCAAGTAGCTGGGACCACAGGTGCCCACCACAATGCCTGGCTATTTTTTGGTTGCAGCTGTCATTGTTGTTTGGCGGGCCCGGGCTGGATTCGAACCCACCACCTTGGCTGTATATGGCTGGCGCCTTAGCCACTTGAGCCACAGGCGCTGAGCCTCCATCTTTTTTAAGGCTGCATAATACTCCATGGTATACATACACCACAATTTATTTATTTATTAATTGATCATTTCATGTGTCGATGGGCAGTTGGGCTTCATCCATGACTTAGCAATTATGAATTGGGCTACGATAAACATTCTGGTTCAAATATCTTTGTTATAAAGTGATTTTTGGTCTTCTGGATATATACCTAGTTGAGGAATTGAAGGATTGAATGGCAGGTCTATTTTTAGATCCCTAAGAGATCTCCAAACTTCTTACCAAAAGGAACATACTACTTTGCATTCCCACCAGCAGTGCAGGAGTGTTCCCTTTTCTCCACATCCATGCCAACATCTCTGGTTTGGGGATTTTGTGATGTGGGCTAATCTTACTGGGGTTAGGTGGTATCTCAAAGTGGTTTTGATTTGCATTTCTCTGATGATTAAGGATGATGACTATTTTTTTCATGTGTCTGTAGGCCTTGTGCCTGTCTTCAGAGAAGTTTCTCTTCAAGTCCCTTGACCACTCTGAGATGGGATATGATTGGTTTATTTTAATTATAATGATTATTTACATATTCTAGATAAAAGCTCTTTATTAAATATATTATTTATAATTTTTTCTCATTCCATAGTTGTCTGCCACCGGAATTCTTGTCTAAAATGATGAGAACACTTGAAAAGGATCTGGTTGCTGTAAACAAGCAACTCCACTTTGTAGGTATTTACACAAGAGAAAAGAAAACATATGTCTATAAAAGATTTAAACAAGAATGTTTGTAGCAGCTTTTCTACCTCCTGCCCCCAAAATCCTGACTACTAGACAACCCTGGATATACGCTTGTTATTCATAATAGCCCCAAACTGGAAACAGCCCAGCTATCCATCAAGAGGAGGATAAATCAGCAGATTGGGGTTATTCAAACAAGGAAATACTACTCAGCAGTTCATGGAGTAAACTACTGATACACACTACCATGTACACATTTTGCCAAATGAAGGACACTATTCACAAAAAGTATATACTGTATGATTCCACTTTACTTGAAGTTTTAGAAAATGCAAAACTAATCTATGGAAGAAAAAATATCAGAATGTCTCTGAAGGCCGGTAGGAAAAAAATGCCGGTAGGAAAATGGTGTGAGTAAAATGGTGTATAACGTCTTAAAGGAGTTTTTGTTACACAAGTATGTATATTTGTCAAACTCAGTGAATCTACACTTAAGAGTTGTGTGTTTCATTGTATGTAAATTTCATCTGAATAGGAAAAAAATTTAAACAAATATTCAACTTTAGATAATATGTATGCTAAATATTTGGGGAAGTACACTGATGTCTGTAATTAACTTAGAAATGCATTTGGAAAATAAGATAGTGGTACTTGGTAACTTGGAAGTAATGAAATTTGTATTTTTTTTTTACAAACCATTGGGATTTTTAAGTTATCATAATTGTGCTAGCTAGGATCTTCAACTTTACTAGGAGTGG